GGGTGCAGGGGTCCAATCCCTTGGGCCATCTTCCACTGCTTTCCCAGGCCATAGCAGAGAGCTGGATCGGAAGAGGAGCAGCCGGGGCTAGAACCAGCAGCCATATGGAATGCTGGCACTACAGGTGGAGGATTAACCTGCGCCACAGTGCCAGCCCCCTGATATTTCTTGATGGTCAATTTTAGACGCTAGCTGTCACTCTTCCATTATGACAGATTAAAAATTGATAACTTCAGTTTCCTCTTACTCCCGTTCTCTGCCTCTCAAACATGTGTCTGCCTATTTCAGCCCTGTTACAACTTTGGTTAAACCATTGGCTGGTTCCTGAATTACTAGGATTATATAAACCTTGTTTCTTTCGACTGACTGGATGTTTCCAAAGCTCTTATTCTTGAGCTGATTCCTTTTCAAGGCAGCCTCTTCTTTTCCCTCTCTCTTGATACCAGGTTGGCATAGAACTTCACAGTACCACAGGGTCTTTTGTTTGTTTTTGCTGCCTGTGGTTTATGGTGGCTGACTGACAAAGTTCTGTGAACCAGTGTCTCAACAGCAGGAGCACATGTTCTGATGCTGATGGCTGGAGGTCTGAGATGAGGCTGTCGCAGGCTGCTTTTCTCTGAGGGCTGTGGAGGGAGGATCCCCCAGGCCTGTGTCCGTGGCTGGAGTGGCTATCGTCTCCCTGTGTCTTTGCAGGGGCTTGCCTGTGTCCATGTGTGTGTCCAGATTCCTTTTGCAAGGACCCAGTCTATTGGTGTAGGTCCAGCCGTGTTCTACCTGGATTGCCTCTTTAAAGGCCGGGGCCAGGACGTGAAATGTGGCGAGGCAGGGGCAGTGTGATTCAGGGCATCTACACCTGCACTGTCTGTTTGCTGCCTGTCTTCCATGTATATTTTTTCACTGCCTGTCATCCTTAAGGCTTCTGTGTTTCCAAGTGAGCCGTTCCGTTCACAACTGGTTTGATTTGGTTTGTGTGCGGGCAGGTTTGCCTTTGACTGTTCTGTCAGATGGTTTGTCCCCATTTTGGGGAAGGATGTGTGCATGCCAGAATCTTTGGATCATTTTTTCCTAGGGTTCTTCGCCTGCCCTGTCTGGACAGGATGGAGTTGGCTGGGGAGACCTCACTTGCCTGGTGGCCATGCTGGGCGCGCAGGAGCGGAGAGGGGGGCCCGAGGAATCCCACAGTTTGCTGGACGGCTTCACACTGACTCCTGCCTCCAGTCTGCCCAGAACCTCTTGCACCCCCGCTGCGCCTGGGTCCCTGAGCCCTGGTTTCTTCAGACTAGACTTCTGATTCTTCTGCCTGCCCGTGTAGGATGAGGCAGGATCAGGGCGTCTGACTTTCAGGCCATCGAGGTGCGTAACCACCAAGTCCTCAGGGCTTCTGCTGCGACCTCACTCACCCTCCTTGCCTCTGGGCAGCCGAACCCTGAACTTGAGGAACTCTGCAGAGTGCGTTACTGAGCTCTCGGTACTTGTTGCTGCCTACCGTGTGCTCGGTGCTGTAACCCTCGAGGACTCTCCTAGGTAGTTTTCAGTTACCTTATGGGATGAGTTCAGTTGTTAGCTCTGTTTTACAGAGTAGAAGACATAGGTTTAGAACAGAATTAGTCAACTGGAGCACCAGTATTCAAACACAGGTCTCTGAATGTCGGTACACTTGGCATTCCGCAGATGTAGGCATGGAGCTACATGATGACTGCTTCTGGCTGCCGTGGTTGAAAGTCTTAAGTCTTAGAAGGCTGTTGTGCTGATGGTTTCCTGTAGTCTTTCTAACGAGAGTGTCCTTAGTAGCTTATGGTCTGGGCATTGGTTGATACTTGACTGCCAAAAAACCTTCAGACGTTTGTGTTTAAGAGCCTTTATATTTTGGCATGGAATGTCTACATTTTCATATTTTTAGTTAATGCTTATCTCAATTGGCATTAATGTGTTCTTTCTCATTTAACAGGTACTGTAACTAGATCACCAGTTTGATCCAGAAGGTACAATGTCTCGCGTGCGACAGCCTCCTCTCGTGACAGGCATCTCTCCCAATGAAGGAATACCATGGACGAAGGTCACAATCAGAGGAGAGAACCTGGGCACGGGTCCCACGGACCTGATAGGTAAGGGGTTTAGAGTGGTGAAGGAATAGGACTTGTCTGATAGGTAAGGGTTAGAGTGGTGAAGGGATAGGACGTGTCTGATGGGTAGGGTTAGAGTGGTGAAGGGTGGGACTTGTCTGATGGGTAGGGTTAGAGTGGTGAAGGGTGGGACTTGTCTGATGGGTAGGGTTAGAGTGGTGAAGGGTGGGACTTGTCTGATGGTAGGGTTAGAGTGGTGAAGGGTGGGACTTGTCTGATGGGTAGGGTTAGAGTGGTGAAGGGTGGGACTTGTCTGATGGGTAGGGTTAGAGTGGTGAAGGGTGGGACTTGTCTGATGGGTAGGGTTAGAGTGGTGAAGGGTGGGACTTGTCTGATGGGTAGGGTTAGAGTGGTGAAGGGTGGGACTTGTCTGATGGGTAGGGTTAGAGTGGTGAAGGGTGGGACTTGTCTGATGGGTAGGGTTAGAGTGGTGAAGGGTGGGACTTGTCTGATGGGTAGGGTTAGAGTGGTGAAGGGTGGGACTTGTCTGATGGGTAGGGTTAGAGTGGTGAAGGGTGGGACTTGTCTGATGGGTAGGGTTAGAGTGTTGAAGGGTGGGACTTGTCTGATGGGTAAGGGTTAGAGTGGTGAAGGGTGGGACTTGTCTGATGGGTAGGGTTAGAGTGGTGAAGGGGTGGGACTTGTCTGATAGGTAGGGTTAGAGTGGTGAAGGGATAGGGCTTGTCTGCACAAAGGTGAAAGGAGGACTCGGTTTTCCGTGACGGTCGCTGCGTGCTGTCTGTGCTGTCCCTCCGTGAGTCCCTCGGCAAGTGTCCGCGCCGGAGATTTGCCGTCCTCTCCCGGTGTCCACGCCTCCTACTTCCCCCTCCCTGACACAGCCGCTGAGTCAAGTGCTCCGTGTATGATTTGGGTCTTGTCTTCCTGCTCTTCAGAGCAGGGCTACAGCCCATGTTCAGGTCGCGAGAGGACCTCTCGGCCCTGTCCTGCCTTCTCCCGGTCCTGCCTTCCCCCTGAATACTTGTTTAGAGCAAGCCGAGGCGTAGTTTTCGGGATGAGTTTGTTTTTTTCATCTTTTCTGGCAGAGTGGAATTCAGGGACATCATGCAGGTGGTAGGCGTGGCATAAGTGTTTTTCGACGTTGGCCTACATGCTGTGTTTCCCCCCTTCCATGACATGGATTGCTGCTGGCTTACTTCTTATTTATTTATTTGAAAGGCAGAGTGACACAGACAGACAGACAGACACACAGGTCCTGCATCTGCTGGTTTATTCCCCAGATGTCTGCAACAACTGGGGCTGGGCCAGGGAAAACCAGGAGCCAGGAACTGAGTCCAGGTCCTCCAGGCGGGTGTCAGGGACCCACGTCGTCCTTCGGACGTAACCTGCTGCCTCCCTCGGGGTGCGCAGGAGAAAGCACAGCAGGAGCCGAGGTGGGACTCAGACCCCGGCACTCCGGGGGGACGGGGGCATCGTAACTGCTGCGCCAAATGTTTGCCCTGTCTTGGTTCTTGGCATAGCTCGGTGCAGATGTTTCTTTACCCAAGTGGAAAAAATCTCCAGAATGCATGGAAATATATAGATGAAAATTGTGTCCAAAATTTTAACTGGCAGTCACTGAGTGCCAAAACATGACAGTTACTAGTCTGTGTGAATTTTAATCTTGCTTTAGCTTCAGGCATTGCTATTCTTATTTGACTAAGTGTATATTACTTTTGTAAACCTTGCTGGTTCAGCTTTCAACCTGCCTCATATATTGCCAAGAAACCATTTTTTAAAAAAGCAAACTTAGCTTGCTAAATAATTTAAGTGTTTTTAACTCAGATGATATCTACACTAGCCAAGTAAAACACTATAAAAAGTACTTTACTTGGAACTCTACAAGTTACTTTGTAAAAAAATGATGCTATTATGTTTCATGAAGCAGATTTCTTAGCTTTTAGTAACTTAGCAAAAATGCATGTAAGAAGTGAAGAAAGAAGTATTATAATCTTATTTTCTTTTCATAACGTTCAAAAATAATCTGTTAGAATCTGTGTTTCAGTTGTGTGTTGATTTTTAATTTTTGGAGTAAAAATATAGGTCCAACTTTAAATCAGAGAAACCTTGAAAATAGGTAGTACTGCATGAATGACCTGCTTGGCCTGTGCGGAGTTTCGTGCTCACTTTGTGGATATCATTTGTGTTTACTTGTGTGAACATGTCCTGAAGGCTTTGCGTGTCTGAAATCTGTTCCCATTTTCAGTTTTAGTCATATGATAATTCCCTAGCAGAGAACTTATATTGGAAGGGAGATTTTTTTTTATATGAAGCTACTATTCGTATTTTTACATCATTCCTTGATGTTTATTGCTGAGTTATTCTCCTTTCAGAAGTGAGGTAATATTTAAAATCATAAGAACTCTTTGATATTATAAAATTAAAAATATTAAATTGTGTATTGATCTATAGTTATATAAAAATATCTACTATCTTTAATTAAGCAGGTTATAAATTAAAGCATTTCTCATTCTTTTTTTTTTAAGTTTTTTTTGTTTGTTTATTTGAAAGGCAGAGTTACAGAGAGAGAGAGAGAGAGAGAGAGAGAGAGAGATCTTCCATCCTTTGGTTCACTACCCAAATGGCCGCAGTGGCTGGGACTGGGCCAGGTTGAAGCCAGGAGCCGGGAGCTTATTCGGGGTCTCCCAAGTAGGTGCAGGGGCCCAAACACTGGGACCATCCTCCACTGCTTTCCCAGGCACATCAGCAGGGAGCTGGGTTGGAAGTAGAAGCAGCCGGGTCTCGAACCTCCGCCCATAGAGGATGCCATTGTCACAGGCAGAAACTTAACCTGTCATTCATTTTAAAAATGCACAGGCTGATGTATGCATGCATGAAATTACTTGAGCAAGTATGTGTTGTAGAAGTACTTATCTTGGGGAACTTAAATTTTTGATAACAAAAATTATCAGGAAGGATTTTAAAGACATTCCCATTTCAAAAAATTTTTGAATTATTAATGTATTTAAAAATGTGTCATTAGATAGTAAAAATATGAACAGTAAGCTTATTCCTAGAGGCACATTTAAATGCTAATATTAAAAAAAGCAAAGTTGCATAAATGAATGAGTAATAGATGTTTTAGGGGAACACCTAACATTGGTGATTTTAAGCACTGTGGTGTTTCACCTACCAGGGTGCCTGTGTCCATCCTGAAGTCGCTGGGTTCTAGTCCTAGCTCTGCTCCCATTGCACACTTTGGGAGGCGGAAGTGATGACTTGACACGTGGGTGTCAGAGTTGGGTTCCTGACACCCACGTGACAGACCTAGGCTGAGGGTCTGGCTCAGTCCTGGAGACTGTGAGCATTTGGGGAGTGAACAAGTGGTGGGAACACTCTCTCTCTGCCTGTGTCTGTCGTCTGTCTGTCGTTCTCTTTCAGATACATAAATGAAGTAGTTATTTTTATTCCTGTATGATTAGCTTAACGTTTTTCACTAAACAAAATGTCGCTTGAATCCCTCTCTCCATTTTTAAAACCAAATTTGGCATTGGTTGAAGTATTCCTGGTATCTGGAAGGAAAAAAAATTCTTACAATTGCCAAACTTGACTGCTAGGCAGTTTACAAAGTTAAATAATTAGAAAAGAAAGTGTGAAGTGTCTGGGTCTGTGCCACACACATTCTGCTTTATTTTTTCCAGAAATATTTATTCCGCTGGTCTCTCACTTGCAGAAATGGAAGAATGCTAGCTGGCCAGCGTGGTGGTCGATGAGCCGGTGTTCATTTTCCCTGGAGAGCCTGCCTTGTTCACATGCATGTCTTAGCACTTCCCTGCTTGCTTATTGCTTGAAGTTTCATTCACGTGGTACTGGAGAGGGTACTGTCGTGGGTGGGTCCTGCCGTGAGTGCCAGTTTACTGGAAGAGCAGCACGTAGCGCCGTGAAGTCTCACTAGGAAAATACCAGGGCAGCATGGGTTTCCATCGGCGGGTTCGATGGGCAGATAGGAGAAATGAGCTAGCAGCTGAGGAGTGCCTGAGGACAGTTTACTGAACTCATATCAGATGTCTGCTGTAATCCCGTGTGCGGTTGAACACTTAGAAAAGGATGTGCAGGTTATTTTCAGGAAGATGCAGGAATACAGGCTGTTGTTAGGGGACGGTGTGTGTATGTATATACACACACACACACACACACACACACACACACCATTTACTAACACTCTTTAAACTTCTTTATCCATAACTTACTTTAATCATAGAAGTGTCCCTTCTAAAACTGTGGAGGTAATATATGATCCTCATTGACTAAACAATCTGGAATGCCCTGACATGGGGACCGTAGTCAGGTATTTTCCAATTCTACGCATGTTTGCCAAAACGTAAAGCCTGAAAGGAGTCTTTAATATCAGAGAAAAAACAAATTAGGAAAAAGATTAATAGAGCAACAGTGTATTTGCAAATCCTGTGGAGTGCCTTCAGTAATGAGTGACCACTGAATGAGAAACACTGCTCTTAGTCGTGCTAGACGCGCTGCGGGCTGTGTCCTTGTTCTCAGCTCCGTTGTGTTTTCAGGCCTGACGATTTGTGGACACAACTGCCTCCTGACGGCCGAGTGGATGTCTGCGAGTAAAATAGTGTGTCGCGTGGGACAAGCCAAGAACGACAAAGGGGACATTATTGTGACAACTAAATCGGGTGGCAAAGGAACCTCAACAGTGTCGTTCAAGCTGCTGAAACCTGAAAAAATAGGTAAAACCTTCTGTGACTTTCTTTCATAGAAGAAACTAAGCATGAGCTTGTCTCTTAACAGGTGGAATAGTGAACTCTCAGGTCTCGTTGGCGTCGTGTGTTTGTTGGGATAGGTGTAGCATGTGGTTCAAATTGGCATTACTTTTTCAAAGGCGGTTCGCCCTGCTAACAGTCAATGAAATATATGGATGTCAATCATGAGTTTTTGGCAAAGTGTGTTCCTTAACGTTTCAATGTACCCCTTTTTTTGCTCTTTATCCTGACTGTAACAACAGCACGTTTAAACTGTCACCCAGTGAAGACTGGCAGAGAAACAGGCTTCTGATCTGGCCACGTGAGCACTGGTGTTATCTCAGTGCCATTCCCTTCATTTTCTCTGTCCTTTGAGGCCCAGGTCTGCCTGTGCCCCCCAGCCTGCACGTCCCTTGTACCCCATCGTACTTCCTGTCTTCCTTTTGTGGCCACTTACTCTTGCCACCTGGATTGGAAGAGGTTTTGAGCTTGCTCTGTGGAGCTGGACTCTGAACTCTAACCGGTGCTTCTACCACAACCAGCCTTCTAATCCAGGCCTCGTTTCTTGGTGGGTCAAAGTGCAGAATCACGTCTCCTGCCTGCTAGCATCAGATGGGGTAGAACCTAGCGTACGGGACTTAGTGTATCCCTTACACAGCAGGTTGGTAGTTTTATTTAATCGTTGGTCTCCTGTGCCTTCTGTGCATGGCTGTTTTCTGGAAGAGGAGTGATGTCAGAGTGGTCCCTGTGCTGCTACGGTTTCAGTAGCTGCTAATTTCTGCACAATGAGGGGATATCGTAGGTGTAGTTGAGCTCAGCCGGTCTTCCCTTCACACGGGAGAGTAAACAGTAGGTCACTCTGTCGCTGTCTGTTTCTGTCTTAGATTGCAGGGTCTTTCTGCAACATTATCCTCCACAAATTCCTGCAGCTTTTTTTTTTTTTTGAAAGGCAGAGTGACAGAGACTGGGAGAGACAGAGAGGGAAAGTTCTTCCATTCTCTGGCTCACTCTCCAAGTGGCTGCAAAGGCCAGGTCAGGGCCAGTCCTAAGCCTGAAGCCTGGAGTTGCATCTGGGTCTCCCACGTGGGTGGCAGGGGCTCAAGTACCTGGGACATCTGCTGCTGCTTTCCCAGGCACTTTGCAGGCTTTGTAAATGTTGGCTTAATCCTCTGGGACCCCAGAACTTTTTTTAAAATGAAAGCTTAAGGAATTTAACGGAAAAATCCAAGTGTGTTATAAACACATGCATTTAAATAGACATTTATACATCGATTCTGGTTTTTCCCCTCTTGTTTAGCATCTTAAGAAACTGAAGTGTGAAATTAAAGCAGCAGGTTTTTTTGTTATTTTTTTTCAGTTTTCTAGAGGACTGTAAAACAATTTTGGTACAATTAAACATCATCTTGTAGCATGATAAAAATGTATGTGAAAGTGAGAATTTTACTGTGAAATATGCAGCCAGAACCTAGTGTCTAGCAGGTTCCCTGAGGGTGGACCGTGGGTGCTGGGGGTCAGGTGGGCTGCAGGTTGCCTGGTACTCAGAGAGCCCTCTTCCAGGACGCCTGGCTGCCTACCTGCTCTGGTGTCGCGCAGGGTCCTGGGGGCAGCTGTGCCCAGCTGTGTGAGGACCTCAGTCACACAGGCAAGGTGCTGCCTGCAGAGGCTGTGTCTGGTGGACCTGGTCTATGCCCAGTCCGCTTTCCCAGACGACCCCTCAGTTCCACCACTCCTGTACTTGTTGGATGTTTCGTGGATTTACCTCAATGACTCAGCATAATATAGAAACAACATCTATTTCTATCATATAGCATAGTTCTACATCGACGATAGTAAAAAAATGAGAAATAGCAAGGAATATATTATTTATCACAACTTCATGAAAATATGTCAGTGTTTATAGAGAAGAAAATGAAAGGCATTTCTTGAGAGTTTCCAGTAACATTTAAAAAAGATTTGGCTTTCATCTGTGGATAGCTTATGGAAGCTAGGAAAAGAAACTTAAAAGAGTAAATACAAAATCGTTTACATGTAATGATTATTCAGCAGTATCACAGACAAGTTTTTCATTGAACCAATGCTTAATTTGAATATTTTGTCCCTGGATATTTCCTAGCCTTTGCCAAAAGCTTATGAGGTTTTAGAACATTCTCTTGAATAAAAAAAATTATAGGTCATATATTGCATTTTATATGCTAACTTTGCAAACTTTTTTACCAATTTAGTCAGCGATATTTACTAATTGTATAATTACAATTATTGTAATATTTATTATTTGTAAAAAGAACCTTTGTTTTAGCAGAACTTTTTCTCAGCTGCTTAGTTTGTCTTTTGTTTTGAATTACATTGAAACCATAAGCCTAGAATGTTATTTTTGTCTTATTTTATAGACGCTTAGTGTTTTTAAATTAAATCACCAGGCACTTAAATGAAAAGTCTGAATGATTGTACCTTCAGCTCCTTCAGAATAATCTGGATTTTGTGTGTGACGCGGCTTGGAGGAGGCCGTGTGTCTCTTGCTAAGGATGTGCCTCCTCTTCTGTAGGCATCTTGGACCAGTCTGCTGTGTGGGTGGATGAAATGAATTACTACGACATGCGCACTGACAGGAATAAAGGCATTCCTCCCTTATCCCTCCGTCCTGCTAATCCACTTGGCATTGACATTGAAAAGTGAGTACCCTTTTCTTTATGTTTCAGTTGCGGAAAGTTTTCTGCACTCCCTGTCAAGGCAGTTACCTCCAGAAGTGTCCCAGGGAGCACAGCTGAAGACAGCACAGCTATTCCGAGACAGGAGCCAGGGCTGAAGCACCCTCACAGCTTCTTTACCTCTTTAGGGTTTTGAGTTTGAATTTTCTGAGTAAGAAATTCTTGAAGTTTTATTAACTAATACTTTTAGTGATGTGAGCATTGGTATGTTGTCTGGAGTTGGCAGGCTTCACTATTTAGACTGTACCTGAAGTCAAAGTAAAATTCAGTCTATCCATTTGCTTGATTTTTCTAGAAATATTTTAGAATAATTAGGTTCAACCTGGTCTTTGATTTTGTTTATAATCTCTGCCTATAATACTTACAAAAATCTAGACTTATTTTAATTATGAGATTTTGCCAGGTAAGTGATATCTGTAAGATATTTTGTAACTGAATTTTTTCTTAATCCCTAGTATAGTGCTTTAGTTACTCTTTTTAAAAAAGATTTATTTATTTATTTTAAAGGCAGAGTTACAGAGGGGCAGAGGCAGAAATAGAGGGGGAGGGGGAGTCTTCCATCTGCTGGTTCACGCCCCAAGTAGCCACAAGGGTCGGAGCTGGGTGGATCTGAAGCCAGGAGCCAGGACTTCTGGGTCTCCCACGTGGGAACAGGGGCCCAAGGACTTGGGCCATCTTCCACTGGTTTCCCAGGCCATAGCAGAGAGCTGGATGGGAAGTGGAGCAGCCAGGACTGGAACCAGCACCCATATGGGATGCCGGCACTGCAGGCTGTGGCTTTATCTACTTAGCCACAGCGCTGGCCCCATGCTTTAGATACCTACAGCTCATCTGACATGCTAACTACCAATTCAGTGTTGCTTCTTAAACATGTGTCAGAGGTGACCAGTTAGTTCTCGTAATACCTTAATAATCGGAGCTTTCTTTTAGGTTTTCCTAGTGATGAAGAAAATTCTCCACTAGTAGTTCTATATTCAACCTCTCCACCTTGTAATTCAAACAGCAGTCTTCAGCCCCTGGCCGAGAGGGAGGCAGCCTGTTTGTCTTGGGAAGGGATCCTGTGTTGAGAAATTCCTGGGGCTTAGCAGCTTCTGTGAGCTCAGACTGCCCCAGGTGGTGTCTCTGGAGCTTGGGCAGTCTGGTCCCGCTGGAGCTGCTGCATCGGTAAAGCTCTGGGAAGTCTGGGAGGAGCGGTGGCGGCTAGGAATCTGTGAGAGCAGTTTGGCGCCTGCCACTTGGCGGCTGATGGAAGCCCTTTAGGGCCTGCTCAAGGCAGCGTAGAGGGGGCCGGCCACCTGTTCTGCCTTAGCCCACAGGCCAGAGGAGCGCGGGGACTGGTACACATGCTGCGGCAGCCTCAGAACCGGCAGAGTGAGGGTCCAGCCTGCTGCTTGCTCTCGAGAAATTGATCTCCTCGAGCACTCTGATATGTTGGCGGACTCCGGTATGACCGCTGCCTATGTCTTCTCTCCCCCCTCCTAGTCCAGGCTGTTGGCATCTTGCTGCAGCCCACGGGGGCCTTGGCCTAGACTGTCCCTGAGCGCACTGTGACCGGGTCTCGGGATACTCCTATGACGGGGACAGGAACAGCAGCAGGGCTCTCTTAAACTGTTCTCCCGCCTTGAGAGGTGGCGAGTTGGGGCTGGAGCCCGACGCCCGCTGTGTGACGCCAGGCCCGGCAGCGTCCAGCAGGGAGACGGAGGAGCTCACGTCCCTCCCTGTGCCCTGGTGTCCTCCAGCGCAGAACGGAGGACCTGTTGCTTAGGGCTCTTGGGAGGACTCAGTGAGTGGACACAGCAAGCGCCCGGTAGATCTCAGTGATTACCGTGATCCTTTGCTCTTCGTGGATGTACACCACTCATTGTGTATCACTGACACTTGGGGAGAGAATCTTTTTTTGGTGGTATAAAATTTCAGAGTAATAATGTTACCGGAGAATGGTAGGGTTCTTGTCTTTGTGCAAGAAAGAATTCAGGCGTGAGACAGAGTAGTGGAAAGTAAAGTAACAAAGTTTATTAGGGAAGGGACATCCACAAGAACGGATGGGCACCTCTCCAGACAGGACCTGGGAGTGTGCAGTCTCTCGGACTGGGTGGGAGGAGCGAGGTTACATGGTTGAGTGGAGAGAGTACACCTGGCCAGGCAGGCGGGCGACTCAGCAGAGAGGCAGAGGGCTGAGCGTGCAGTCCGGTTGAGGCCGGGGGTTTAAGGAGATGGGTCTTTGTCTTCACACATCTCCTCCTGAAACAAAGGATTTTATGGCTGTAAATATTAAGAAGCTCCTATCTGAGTTTTCCCTTGAAGGTATGAGACAGGAGGAAGCCTAGCTGGTGCCATCCTGGGTTCAGAGGAAGGGTGAGCAGGACCCCCTAGAGAATGGGGATCTGGAGCAGGGTGTTTGAAATGCAGATACTGGGCTGCATCTGGGAGATTGTGGAAGATTTGTCAGGCAGAAGGGGCTGGGATCTCCACCTGGCAGGTTATCAGGTAGAAGGGGGCAGGGCAGGATGTGAATACCGGGCTGCCCCTGAAATATTGTCAGCAGATGCATGTGCTGGACATAGATGTCTTCTCTTTAGGCCTTTATGTCACACACACAGAAGCTCATATCTGACTTCCTACCTAACAATGAATGGCAGTAAAATCTTGAAATGGTGTGTGCTTTCTTCAAGAAGTACTGAAACGGGGAAGCATTAATACATCTCCTTCAGGCTGTCGCTTACGTTTCAGCAGTGTTTGCTCAGCTGGGGACTAATGTCAGGATAACTTTTGAAAAAGGGAAGATACCATGACTCTTAAACACAAAATGAGCAAATACCAGCTTTCTGGAAATTCATTCCCTAGTGAGAGAACTGGTAAGATGTGAACAGCAGCCCAGAGGGAAGTGAGAATGTGGAGTACAGAGCTGGCCCCGTCCGCAGCTGCGTGCTGCCTGCCTGCGATCTGTGGGCTGGAACCCCTCGCGTCACCCCTGGCATCCCACAGCCCCCTTCTCTCTCTGCAGTCGAGGCAGAGGAGCCACTGAGAGAGAAACACAGGGATCCCAGGAGAACTGGAGAGTAGCAGGAGGTCCCGCTGGACAAGGAAGGAGCACTCAGGAGTCTCTATCCATCTAAGCGAGGAAGATGCCAGGAAGCAAGTCCTGAAAGATAAAAGTGGGAGGAGATCCTGTAAAAACCGAGAGAAGAGGATGCTTTGGGCCAGAAACATGGTTTTCCAAATTCCTTTTCAGAAAAATTTTATGTTTAAGATACTATCAAGAAAGCTGCATTTATTTTATTGGATTCTTTGAGCTCAAATTGGGAAATCTTATTTCAGAGACGGAAAAGGAAAGGAATGGCAAATGGTAAAATATTGGTGTAGGTTTTATTTCCCTGAGCCACTCACTGTTTTGCTAGCATATTTGAGAAGAGAATGTGTGTGTGTGTGTGCAACCCGCAGCAGTTGGGCCTGGCTAGGGTCAAGGCTGGGAGCCAGGAGCTCAGTGCAGGGACCCTGACATTCAGCTGCTGCCTCCCAGGGTCTGCATCAGCAGGAAGCTGGAGTCAGGGTGGGGCAGGGCACTCTGCTGTGGGACACCACTAGGCCACGTGCCCTCCCTCAGCTTGAATTAAGGTGAAAGTTTTGCATTGAAGTTGAAACCCTCAGTTCTTTCATTTCTCTTCACTGATGCCACTTGGGGGCTTCCTTTGTCATGGAAAGCGGGTTTCTTACAGCTTCAGCAATGGTGTTGTGGTCCAGCTGGTCCAGCACCACATCCCCTGTGGGAGTGCTGGGTGGAGTACTGTGCCTTTAAAGGCAGTGCAAGATGCCCCAGGTATTGGGGTCCCTGCCACCCACTTGGGAGGCCAGGATGTAGTTCCCTACTCCTGGCTTTGGCCTGGCCCAGCCCTAGCTGTGCTGGTCATTTGAGGGAAGTGAGCTGACAGAAGGTCAGTCTCCCGTTTTTCTCTCTCTACCTCTCTCTGCCTGTCCCACCCCCCCCAACTCCCCACCCCCATTGCTCTGTTTTTCAAATAAGTACATCTTTTTTAAAAAAGTCTATGGAGAAGGAATATTAGGATTTTACTATTATTTGATCATTGAACTGTGTTAATTAAAAATTTTGAAGAATTGGGAGCCCTTGTTGTGAGCTATTCAACTGTGGTCCTGATGAGTTACCAGATTAAAGCGGTCAGGCCGCCTTGGCAGACGCACCAGCTCCTGGAGCCTGCAGTTGGGAATGTTTATGGAAAGTCCCTCCAGCTGACCGCCCCCTGTACCAAGTGGAACAGTGCGGGGCCTCCAGTGTGGTGGCCAGTTCATCTGAATATGAAAAAGCAAGTGAGAGTAACACAATCTAGTTTCTTCTTCTCTTCGGTGTGAGTCAGAGTTTAATGAATATTTTATTGGTGGACCCAGCACACATGCTGTCATCTTTCATCCCACAAGTTTAACAACTGGCATTTTAAAGGCCACCGGTGACTGTTAAAGTCCTTCATACTCCTGAGTTTCTAACTGATGTTTTTGCACACATGGTGGCATGATACTTGTAAAAATGTTACTAATTGCTCAGAAAAAAATAACCTTGCTTTGAATTGAGACTGGAGTTTTCTTGTAAAAGGTCTGTATTCCTGATTTATTATGTCGATTGTCACAAATGTGTATATAGTTGTTTGCATGCCTTTGATTGTAATGAAGACAAACTATTTAAACTGAGAAAGAAGGTGAAAACAGGTTCATGCTGCGTGGAAATCTTTACTAGGTTTTTCTTGCAGGAGATTATTTCTAAGTAGTATAGGAGAGATGTTACATGTGTGGGAGAAGGGGCAGAAACACAGAGCTTTGCCCTTGGTTGTCTATGATTCCCAACTTGTTGTGGGTGAATTACTCCCTGGGAATGTACACTGTCTACAGTGGCCAGTTAATGTACTACTAATATCTGTTTTGTTCTTCCCGAGTTTTATGAACAATGCAAACCTGAC